TCAGCCTTCCGAGTAGCTGGAACTACAGGCGTGCGCTACCACGCCCAGCTAATTTTTGATTTATTGTAGAGATGATGTCTTGCCAAGTTGCCCAGGCGGGTCTCGAACCCGTAGGCTCAGGCAATCCGCTCACCTCAGCCTCCCAAAGCGCTGGGATTCCAGGCTGAACCACTGAGCCCGGCAAAATCAGATTTTTTTAAAGAACAAATGGTTTCCAGGAACTGCAGGCTTGTAAACCATCAACTTCAGAAGGGGTTTTTAGATAAGACTCTTTTCCATTTCCATGAAATGGCCAATCTCTGGGCCATTTGGCCTTTCTCAAACAAAACCTGCCTGGTGCCTGGCAGGTCTTTAAATTTGCAACTTGCCTTTCAAAAGGAAATACCTTTAACTGCTATCAACCCCTTTCCTGCCCCTGGGCTAGTGGGAGTTATCCCAGGTGATTGCCATGAGGCCAACTACTGATCCCGAACCAGCTACATGTGTTTTTGTGTTTATTCACTCCATCATATAAGAAATATATTTGAGCATTTGCCGCATCCTAAAGGACTGCCTGTCTGGGGCAAGCTGGGAAAGGATGTGCTTTCCGCCCACATTCCATTGGCTGAAATTAGTCACATGGCTAACTGGATGCAAGGGAGGCTGGGAAATGTAGTACCTCACTGGTGGACCCCTTGAGAACAGCTCACCTGCCATACTCTGTTTTCTCAGCTGTAGACTAGGGGTGATGACCCCTGTCCTGCCCATGTATTGTGGCATCAGGGATATAAACACACTTTGCATCTGCTAGGCAAGGCTTAAGGTATCTGCATCAGTAATAGGAAGAGGTACCAAGTTTTTGGTTTTTTTGTTTTGCTTTTTTTTTTCCTGAAGAAAACTCGGATGACTTTCTGTGACAATGGTGGCCACTGCTGATTCCAGTCAGATGCTGGAATTGGGGGTGCTTTTAGGTGCAGCTGCATTTCAACTGGTCCTGGACTTTGGTCCTGGCTTGGAGAGGTGCAACTTGCAGCTGCTTCCTGGCTAGGATCCCTTCTTGGCCTCAGGCCCCAACATCGAAGGGATGGTTCTAATAAGTTTTATGTTTTGTTCACAGGAGCAACCAGGGTTTTATGCACATGAAACTGGCCAAAACCAAAGAGAAATACATTCTGGGTCAGAACAGTCCCCCGTTCGACAGCGTCCCGGAAGTCATCCACTACTACACCACCAGGAAGCTACCCATCAAAGGGGCCGAACACTTGTCCCTCCTTTACCCAGTGGCTGTGCGGACCCTGTGAGTGGACCAGCCCCGCCCTGCTCTGTGACAGATCCTGAGACTTGGAGGCGCCAGAGGCCCCTCTGCCCGCCAACCGGTCCGGCCAGCTATGGCCGTGTCAAGTTTGTGTCGTGTGTATGGTACTAGCACACCACTGCATGTCTCTAGAATGCTGTTGCTACTTCCGGGGGCTGGAGAAGGCCTGGATAAAGACCGGGGGACAGCCAACACACCGCCCCAGCCCCAAGTCCCCAGCCCCACCCCCTCCTTGAGTTTCTGTGAATTAAAATATTTGCAAATCCAAAGAGATGCCTTCCAGGATGAACAAAGGCAGAGCAGCCCTGGGGGGCAGAGCGGGACGCCCTGGCTCGCATCTCTTTGTTCTCCAGCTGTCACGAATTCACACCTGTGTCTGGGGCAGTTTTCCCATGGCCCCCTTGCTGGTGCTGGGAGCCAAATGCTGGCACTTGGAGAGCCCAGGGGTCCTGCCCCACTGGTTTGTGTGTGTGTCTGAGTGCGCGTGGAGCACAAATGTGAGAGAACATGGTCACACACAGATGAGTCTGCCCGCTGATCTACCTTAATCACTCAGTGTAATCATTAGGCGATCTTCAAGGAATCATTGTGCCGTCAAGAGAGGATTCAATTATTTATGAATAGGTTGTGTAAATAAAATAGTCATTTAATATATAGTCTTATCCCTTTTTTAATATACTGCAGAAGGTCTCTGAGGGGGCTTGTCCACTGGTTTCACTCCCAGAGCAAGGGGTGTCTCCTCTGGGCCTGCTGCGGTGACAGACCAGAGAGGGGAGGAAGGCAGAGGCCCCCGCCCAGGCCCTCAGCAGCTCCTGGATGCCAGATTGGCCTGCTCTGGGGAGTAGGCTGAGGCAGTCTGGCACACAGGCCTGGAGGAGCACAGCCTAGCCAGAGGGGTTTCCCCAGCCCTGGGCACCAACCTGCAGGAAAGTGCAGCCAGACCCTGTGTTCAGGTTCCAGCAGTAGACAGGAGTCTGGAGCCCTAAATGTTGACCAAACGACCAAGCCTTACCTCCTGCCAATGGCAAGTCTGTATGAGCCCCTGTCTACAAAAGGCTCTCCCCATTATCTGGCCAGCACCGCCCCACAAGGCATCTAACTTGTGGGGAAAGGGAGGCTCAGAGAGGGAAAGTAAGTTGCCCAAAGTTGCACAGCTTATAAGCAGCAGAGCAGGTTTCACAGCCAGTGCTCTTTCACCAGCTCTGCATGGTCTTGCTGTCACTTGCTCATGGAGGAGGCTGTCCTGACTGCTCTGGGACATGGAACTCTCTCGGTCATCCACATTGCTTCCACACACACACACACACACACACACACACACACACACACACACACCTCTCTTGCCCCTGGGACATGGAACTCTCTCGGTCATCCACATTGCTTCCACACAGAACACACACACGCACACCTCTCTTGCAGGAACTCTTCCCACACATTCGGGGTGGACCCCAACAAGGCTCCAGTCTTTCCCACCCACCCAGCAGCCTGAAAGGTGTGGCTACACCCTTTGAATGAGGTAGGAGGGCCCCAAGCCTTCCTCAAGCACACAGCAGCCTGTCTGGCTGAGTGGGCTGAAAGTCTGATGACCCGTGTCCCTGGCACATATGGGAAAAGTGCAAGGGACCCATTTTAAACATCACCAGCAGGTCCAGATATCAGTGCTGCTCATATCTCAAGAGATGGTTTAGAGGTGGTTCCAATTCACTGTCCAGATGCCATGACAGAGGCCCAGAGAAGGACTTGCCGAGGCCACATGCCACGTGGGAACAGCGCCTGAGGGCGGCTGCTGTGGATTTCAGTGGTTTGTGCAAATCCATGTCCTGAGTGACCAGTCCACCTCCCGGGTCATCTTCTCGGGGCCTTGTCAGTCGGGCGGGTGGCCCCAGCCCCTCACAATCAGCATGTTGGATGTGGCCTGTGTCGTGTCTCCAAAGAAACCAACCCTGGGGAAACCCTCGCTCTCCTTTGGGGGGGTGGCAGTGAGTGAGAAGATGAATGCAGAGTGAAGAGTTGGCACTTGTCCAAACAGGTGCCGAGGAGCCTGGACCCCAAGGAGGCCGAGTGGGGAGGCAGCCCTGGGCCAGGGGAGGAGTGAGGCTACACGTGGCCAAGTTCAGATCCACCCCGCAGGGCGCTTCCTGAGACCGTGGGCTGGGCTGTACCTCACGACCCTTCTCTGCCTTCCAGAGCAGTTCTCTCCTCAGAAGAGGCTCGTGGCTGTGGTCTGAGTGAAAGCTGGGCCGCTGCTTTACCCTCTGACCGTGCCTTTGCTCCTTCAAGGGATTCTGGGGACCTTTCCTCCCTCCCCTGCCTTCAGCTTCCTGAAGTTTCCCTGGGAGGCCCAACCTCCAACGCCCCTTGGGGACTGAGGCGGGCAGAGGAGCCAGCTTACAGGATGGGAGCTGCTAAGAAGCATTTTTTTTTCCTTAATTTTATGAACCTCTCCCTCTTCTTCCTCTAATTGTGACCGTTTCCTCTGTCAGCGTGTATTCATGTTTTCTTGGACATCTAACAATTGAAACGGCTTTTCCCTTTCAGAAACACTCGCATTCAGGTTACTGGTGTTGGTTTGGTTTTTGTTTGGGCTTATGTGTTTTTTCATCTGCTGCCAATTAATGAGGGGAAAAATTGAGCTGGATTTCTTTGAGGGGGGAAAAAAAACTCCCTGCCACACAATATCGCTCCCTCAGCACTTTGTCTCAGAACACAACCTCCAGCCACTAACGGCTGTTGTTTTCTTCTCCCTTCTTTGCTGGCTTCATTATTGACCATAATGCCCTGACCACTTGAGCAGCTCTGTCCTTGAGCGCTGAAGAGTCAAGGGCCCTTCTGGCAGTTCCCCAAATAAGATGGCGCCCACAGAAAGAAAGGAGGCTTTGTGGGAGAAGACGGCCCACCTGTCTGTCCGGACATCCTGAAGCCGGGAGAATCTCCCAGAGCAGCTCTTCACAGGAAAGTAGGCAAAAGACTGAGTCTTTGGGAAGGCTGGGCCTATCCCCACAGGGCAACTGTGGGCTGGAGCCCCTTGGTGGCTGTGAGCGGGAGGGACCCTGGCAGAGCTTCCTGCAAGGCCCCAGGGCCACAGGTGGAGCTCTGCCCACACTCGGCTTCTGCCTCAGGCCCAGGACACGAAATTCCCTGTGTGAGATTTTGAACACCAAGTTCTGGCGGCTCTTGGAGATACTCCAGGAAGGGGTGATGTCATAACCAAGGGCCTGGCAAGGACAGGCAGCAGGGTCACCTACCATTCACTCTCACAGCCCTAGGGACAGTGCATGCAGAAACCAAGCCAGGACAGGCTGGCGTTTGGTGTTGGCCCGTGGATGCCCGTGAAGGGTTCAGCTGAATCAGGCAGCTGTCCAGCAAACTGTCACATCTCTCTTCCCCCTTCTAGAATCAGTTACCAGCAAAGACCAAGTTGGGCAGGTCCTCCTGAGAGAGTCGCAGAGCCCATAGTCTTAGATGTAGGAGCAAACACCTCCCAGAGCCCCACAAGGACTGTGCACAGGGACTCTCGGGACACAGGTGGCCCTCGGCCTCTCTGTCCCCCTTCTTGGGGCTGTTTGCATCACTGCCGGAAGCCTCACACCAGCCACCTACTGCTGAAAAGATGCCCTGTAAAGTCCCAGTTCTGTGTGCACTGGATGTATAATGTGAAGCTTAAAAAAAAATTTTTTTTTTTGTTTTTTTGAGTTGGAGTCTCACTCTGTCGCCCAGACTGGAGTGCAGTGGCCGCTCCCGGCCACCGCAACCTCACCTGCTGGGCTCCGGCGATCCTTCCGCCTCAGCCTTCCTAGTAGCCGAAACTACAGGCGCGTGCTACCACAGCCGGCTGATTTTTTTGATTTATTTATTGTAGAGATGAGGTCTCTGCCAAGTTGCCCAGGCAGGTCTCAAACCCGTGGGCTCGGGCAATTCACTTACCTCCCAAAGCGCGGGATTACAGGCTGAGCCACTGATCCTGGCCTAAATTTTTTTTTTTGAGTCAGAGTCTCACTCTGTCACCCAAACTGGAGTACAGTGGTATGATCACAGATCACTGCAGCCATGAACTCCTGAAGAGAAGTAATCCCCAGCCTCCCGAGTAGCTGGAACTACAGGCATGCACTACCATGCCTGGCTAATTACTTTATTTTATTTTATTTTTTGTAGAGACAAGGTCTCGCTGTGTTGCCCAGGCTGATCTAGAACTCCTGGGCTCAAGCAATTCTCCCGCCTCAGCCTCCCAAAGTGCTGGGATTACAGGTGTGAGCCACCACTCCCAGCCTAATGTGAAGCTCTTAACAGACGAGTGTCCTGTTTAAATGCACTTCCTTGAGCATGCATGCTTGATTTCTTTCCAATGCAACCATGTGCCCCAGGAATCTCGTTGGATTGCCTTTCACTTGCAAAGGCTGAGCTTCTGCCATCATCCACTAACGGATGCACTGTGACAGGAAACACGGGACCTTCCTGCGTCCTAATTATAAGGAAGATAGAGCCCTAATGAGCTCATTAAATGGAAACTAATTCATTCAGCAGACATTTACTGAGTGCCAAGCCTGGTGAATACAGAGGCGAATGGGACCCAGCCCCTGCCCTCAAGAAGTTTCCAGTGTGGAAAAGCAAACACACAATTATATGTGATACAGTAGAGGCAAGCCCAGACGAGAGGGAAGTGAATCTGCTCACAGCAGTCAGGAGAAGCTGGGCTTTGGGGGATGAATAAGATTCACTAGGGAGCCCGGAGGGATGGATGTTCTGGACAGAACTAATGGGTGGCAGAATCATCAGGGAGAGTCGGCTGGTACCAGGTGTGGCACAACCTGCCTTGGCAGGAGATGGCAAGGCTCCTCAGGGAGGCAAAAGCATAGGCCAGGGCAAGGGAAGGGGACACTCATCTCCTCAAGCTGGGAAGTCACTCTTGGTCTCCCTGAAGAGAGGGAGATGCTGGCCTCCTGTTTTCTAGTGCAGGCAAAGCCTTAAGGAGAGGAGGGCGGGGCATGAGTCTTGGCACAAAACCTCCTCTTGTTTCTCTGACACCATCACCGTGATGATATCATCATGCAACCTCAGGTCTGCAGCCCAAGCCTCTCCTCACATACAGATCAACGCCTGGGGGTGCGCACAGGTTCCCGCCCCAGGGACTCACCCACCCTCCCCCTCCCTCCTTACCCCCCTCCTTTCCAAGAACGTGGCCCTCTGCCCCCCACCAGGCCCCTTCCTCACTCACTCCCCCACGACTTGGGCTTTGGCTCAGCTCTCTCTCCTCCCCCCACCCCCCACCTCCCACCTGCATCCCCAACCCCCTACCCACCACCACATTCCAATGACCCAGAATCTTCATCTTCCGATTCCCAGGACTCTCAGAGCCACGGCACCATCACCGCACACCCCCACACACACACTCACACTTTGCCCAGGGAGGACAAAGTCCCGACACGTGGTCCTGTTGACAGAAATGTTTCTGAGCTGGGTGAGGACCCAGGGGCAAGGGCAGTGCCGGTGCTCTGCCACCAGGAATTTCCTGAAAGGAAGGAGAAAAGGTCACCTCTGGACTCCCTTGTATGTTGGGGGAGTTTTCAGTTTGTTTCAGCTCAATGTAACAGACATTAAGCATGAAATAGAGACAGAGTGAGCTGGTGACCAGGAGGCGGAAGCTGAGTGCAGGAAAC